CTACTCTTAAGTTTCTTTGAGACCCAGGGGAAGAGGCTCTGTCAGCCTGAGTCAGGGAGAGGATTGTGTAAGAACCTGAGGCCAGCAGGGTGGAACGTTGCCTTGCAGTTGGTGGTTTGCCTTGAACTTGCTGTGAGGAAAGGTCTCTGGGGCCTGTAAGAGTTACCTAAGTGCTTTTACAAGTACTCTTAAACGAAACCTTGCAAGGGGCTGAGGCCATTAAATTATGGGGGAGGGACTGCTTTTGACCTGCTTGGAGTTGTAACAACACTCTTCTCCAGTCCAGCAGGGCCTGGCCAAGTGTCTATACTTCCGTTGTGACTTGATTGGAAGCTTGGGTAAAGTGCCATGGGCTTGCTCATATGGTGAATGGATTTTTTGTGGCTTCTAAAAACTCTGGCTAGATCAGCCCAGCATGTCCCAAGAAGACCTCTTGCCTTCTTTCATAGGGTCATTTGCCTAAGGTGAAAGGTTGGTATCGAATCTTCGCAGTGACCCCCAAAGAGGCCCTGTTCCTTTGTCCGTCGCCCTGTTTGGAACACAGCCCAGTCTTCACACCTGACCATATGGGTTGTTGGTATTATAGTTGCATAGCCCAGAAGCCTCTCTTTGGAACTCCAATGCCTCTGTGCTTCTGTGAAGATGCTCCTGTTTGGAGGGCTAGGGCTGCCACTTGCCCTTCCTGGCCCAGGTGGCATGGGTGGCTGCCCTGTGGGTGGGGAGATAACATATTGTCAGGGTCAGAGACCCCAGCTTTGGTTCTTCAGCCTGCCACCACTTAGCTGCGTGACCTTGGACAAATGACCAAACTGCTCTACATCAAGCTTTCTCATCTGAAAAATGAGGGTAATTGGACTGGTGTTAGGGGATGTGGAAGGGTCTCTGTAGGTGCTTTAAGTGTTTCACCAGTGTGCAGCCCCCAGGGAAGGGTGGGACTACTTGCTGTGATGGACATAGCAGTATAGTGCCCCATGGTCCAAGCAGACAGAAGACTGGCCTCCTGTTGGGCTTGGCCAGTGTTGGGCCCCATTCTTCAGTAGGGGATTCAAGTAGGTCATAGAAGAGAGACAGAGAAGGTCACTTGAGGCTGGAGGGTACCCAGCTGAACTGTCATCCCAGATGATTGGCAGCCAGGGAGGATGGCCTGATCTGGCCTGACCCCTTCAGACCATCTGCTCTAGAGTTCTGGGAAAGGGTCCATTAGGGTGAAGCTTGTGGGTGCCTTGGCTTGTACATGGGACTGTTATGCGAGCATCCAGGCAGGTCACATCCCCTGTCTGGTCCTCCTTCATTCTTCTTGTCTCGAAAACAATTGTTGGTCTCCAGAGTTCCTGCCCTGCTCCAGTGTTCATTGAACCCATGATCTGACACGTGACCCCTAAGTTCCTGTCTTTCTGGTGTGAGTTAACTTCTTACTTTGAAACAGAATGGTAAAAAAACATGAGTTCTTATTCTTAGAGCTGAGAGAAGGAGAACTGCACCGCAATGGGGGTGGGGGTGGCTGGTTTCTCAAGCCAACCATGATTTGGCAAGGGTTTCCTGGGGGCCTTGGCATATGGCGAGAGGAGTAAAGGGGGTCAGTGTGTCTGTAGGCCACAAGCAGAGTGGTGCCGGTGGCTTTGTCATTGGAGAAGGGGGCAGTCAGAACAGACATAAATACAAGTATGCTTACCTCTGTGCAGGCACCTCCTGTGAGGAACCAAGGATCTTTTTTGAGAACTTGCTCCCTGAATCCTTTGGCAGAGCAGACTTCTTTTGTGAAACCAGTCACTTCTTCCCATTGTATCTATTTTGTCACCCAGTAGAAAAATTAAAACAGCACCTCAGGGTCGATTCACCGAGACATATAAATACAAGTAGAGCTGAGACAGATATTGAGGTGGGAAAAGGTAGACTTAGAAGACGCGGGGAGAGAGGGGTGAGCTGTGAGGTGCGGTGGGAAGAGAGGAGTGTACCAGGTAGGGGTTTGTGTGAGTCTTTTCAGGTAGACTTTTCTCACCTGTCCTGTGTGGTGCGAGGGGATGGATGCTTTCATGGAGAGCAGTTAGGCAGGGGCTAGAATGTCTGTTGGGAACACTGGATGGGACGCAGGACTGGGCATCCTCCAGACTTGTTGTGCTGTGACCCTCGGCCAGTGCTCTGTGTAGAACTTGACCATGGATCTGGGTCGGGCTGGGCTTTTGCTTGGCCCTCCTTTGCTCTGAATGCCTTTGCATTGAGTCAGACCCAGAAGTGTGCCTGGGAGGGGAGCTGGAAGAACCCCAGGCAAGGATGTTCCTGGTTTGGGGCCTTGGAGAACCACTCACTGGAGCCTACTATGAGCCAAGTTTTTCAAGTTGTTGGGATACAGCTCTGACAAAACAGATAACATCTCTCCCCTCAGAGGGCTTATGTTAGGAGACATAATAAGACAAAGGCCTATATGGGTCTAGCGTTAAGGCCATGAGAAGAGTCAACAGAAGGAGCTCATGAGTTGGGGGTGGGGAGCAGTTCTACCTAGGATGGTGAGGGATGGGCGGCGTCCCTGAGGAGGTCAAATTTGAAGACAGTGGATGAAGTGAGGGAGGCAGCCAGGAGGATATGGAGGAAGAACATTCTAAGCCAAGAGAACAGTGTCAGGGCTCTGAGGCAGGGTTGAGTTTGGCGAGTTCAGGTAACAGAATGCCAGGATGGCCTTGGAGGTTGGGCTGGGATGGGTGAGACGAGTAGGAGATGACGCGGGAGATGTGGGCTGAGTGTGGATTTTATTCTGTGTGTGAAGGGAAGTCACTGGAGAGTTTTGAGGAGAGTTACCTGATCTAATCTGTAGTTTTAAAGGGATCACTCTAGTTGCTCAGGGATCAGTGAGGAGCCCCTGTAGGATCCAGACCTGGTGGAAGCAGCCAGGAAGAAAACTGGTTGAATGCGCTGTGTGTTTTGAAGGCAGAACCAGCAGAGGGTCCTGGTAGGTTGAGTGTGGAGTACAAGGGAAAGAGAGGCATCAGCATGGGATCTGGGTTTTCTCTCTTATACATGAGTGAGTGGATGGTGGTGCCATTGAATGAGATGGGGAAGAGTTGGCAGGGAGCTGGGTTGGGAGACGAAGGCTTCATGGTAGGGTATGTTTAGATTAAAATACCTTTAGTTGTCTTTGGGGGACAGTGATGTAGACATTAGGGTATTTGACTTGGGAGTGTGGCCTGGGCTAGAGCTCTGGATGTGCGATTCGGCGGTGTGGACATTTAAAGCTGCGTGGATCATGGGGTCATCTAAAGGACTTATGGAGGGCTAAGAGACTGGGACTGTGCAGTGAGGTCCACTAGCATTTAAAGGGGTCTAAAGGAGGAGGGGGATGGGCAGAGAGGAGACAGCCAGGAGCATGTGCTTGGGGCCGGTCCTTGAAGCGGAGTGTCTCAGTGATGTAGTTGAATGAGCTGTGTTGGGTGAGGTCAGATAAGATGAGAAAAAAGAGTTGGCCTCCGCTTTGGCAAGAGGGAAGCAAGTCCCTGGGGGCCTTGAGGATTGGTCTGGGTGGAAGCCTGCAGGAAGTCACTTTCTGTACTGCTCACTCACCAAGCTTGTGTAAGACACCTTGGGGAGAGAGTGGGACATGGGCATGGTGTGGTGGGAAGGGCAGAGGGTGAGCCCCTGGAGCCAACCCTGGACTTGGGAATATGTATTGAACAAACTAGCAAGGAGTGAATGAATGAACTGAGTCCTGGGGCCCTGCCCTTCTCCCTACTGCTTGCCATTTTGATCTTGGCCTTTTCTGGGTCCCAGTGTTCTGCTTTGTAACATGGAAGGCTTGGGTCCTGGCAGGTTTTCTTCACTTGGGGTCACAAACTACTGTGGGAACCAGCAGCAGGAAGCTGGGAACTCTCTGAAATTCCGTACAAAATATTGGACACATGGGCATTTTCTGAAGGTGATCTATGATCCAAAAGAGGTTGAGTGAGAACACCCAGGGCTTCCTTTAAGCCTTTTCTTCCCACTCCACCCACCTGGGGCTGGTATTGAATAAAACCAGCAGCTGGTTTAAGGCTTGAGAATATCCTGGGAAGTTGAGAGTCATTGAGAAGCCTAGTCCTGACATTTATCCTGAGATACTGACAAATGGCAGCGAAACAGTGTGATCTAAAGTGGTTAAACAGAAAAATAGGCAGCATCATTTGCAGAGACCATGATATGTTTTGTATGGAAAAATCCTCCCTGGTTTAGAAACCTGTGTGATGTGTTTGGGGGAGTCCTTTCTCTTGTGCATCATGTGGGCCAGCCTAACCCCAGGGGTTCCTACAGGCAAGAGGTCGGGTTTGGGAATGCCTCTCTTCTAGAATGACCTCTTTGCCTAGTGATGCTATTTTAATTCAGTGACTAATAACCTAGCATTTCCTGAGCACATGTGTGCCCCTGCTGAGTGTAGGTACTGCAGAGAAGCCCTCAGCCCTGGCCTGCAAGTGTAGGTACCCCAGGGATGCACTCAGCCCTGGCCTGTGCTGCGGATAGCTCTTGTCTGGGCGTGGAGTCTGTCTCCAGGGCTGGGGGTCCGGTCCAGCTCTGCTCCCCCCTTGCCCTTACTCCTTGGTGGCACCCGATCTTATGCAGAGCCTCACCCTGTGCGCTGGGAGCCTCTGAAGGCACTTGGGGCAGCCCTCCCAAGGGGCGATGTCTTCTGTACACCAGATAGTATACAGAAATGAGTTGGGGGTTGCAGAATGGTGTCTGTGCCGCAGTAGTCTCTACAGGTCATGGTCTGCTCTGTCTTGTCATGGGGCCATCTGGAGTTGAAAAAGTATGTCCAGACATTCAGGGAAGGTAGGTGCAGGCTATCTGCAGAGCCTCATGTATGTCCCATTGTTCTGGGGTAGGAAGCCCCTATCAATTGCAGGGGTCAAGGGGCCATGTTGGGACAAGAACCAGCAGCGTGCCCTGACTAGCAGCAGTATGGACTTTGTGAAGCATGTTCATGGTACTAGTTTCCAACTTAACTTTGTCCTCTCTCTTTCTCCCCTGCCCCTGCTTAGTTGGCTGGAGTTGTCTTCCTTGGAGTCGGGCTGTGGGCATGGAGCGAAAAGGTAAGTAGGTGTCACCAGACGCATTGGACTTTCCTTTTCCCCATGTCCGATCTGGCCCCTATAACAAGTCTTTCTTGTGCAGTGTAGAGGTCTGTAGTGGTTCATCTTCACAGAACCAGCCTCTACGGCTGCTCTGCTCCCCTGTAGTGGGGTTGGCTGCTGCAGGCTGTGGCTGGGCCAGTTGTGTTTCTGAGCCCTGTGATTATGGGAACTTCTTTTCTGTTCCCTGAAGCCCTGAGCCACCCCAGACTTGTCTGCAGCTGTGCCCAGGGCAGCCTTGAGGCTACCTTCCTGACCCTGTTTGTGCCTCTGGGAGCAAGTGAGTCATTTTATCCCTGAAGCTTTTGTCCACATCCACAAAAAGAATCCCTGAGAGCAGGGAGCAAGGCTGGCTGGGTGTGTGCCCACTGGGTGCCCTGTGGGCAGAGGCAGCTCTTTAAGCACCCGTGGACCTCTTTGCCCAGCCTGTGGAGGAGAGGTGAGGTGGGGAGACCAGGCTCATATTGTCTGGAAGGACAAGGAGGCAGTCGCAGCTCCAGGGAGGGGACTAGTCCGGATGTGGGCAGGGTAGAGCTGCCTTGTGGCCTCTTACCCCGTGGGCAGGGATGTTGAGAGGTGGTGGGGGCTGAAAAGGGTCCTTGCTACAGGGCTAGGGAGGGAGAAGGAGCACAGTGGAGAGACCAGGCCCAGAACCGTGGGGAACTAAAGCTTCCTCTACAGTCTGAGAGCTAGGGCCCTCTTCTGTGGAACCTCTTTTTGCTTCCAGAAGTCAGAGGCAGGAACACTTAGGTGTACGGGCTTTCCTGCGTTAGGACGTGATAAGGCCCATCTTCAGGTTCAGGTGCCTGCAAGGTAGCCTGTGAACCCCTAAAAGTCAAGACCTGGGGTGCAGTGTCCCTTTGCCCCAGTGACCCAGTAATGGGCGCAACTTATGACTCGTAGCGCCACCGTGTGGCTGCCTCTGGGACTGCAACAGCCTGACTGGGCAAAGCCCTGAGTATCGAGCTGGCTACCCTTCCTTTCAATCTGTCGACCTAAAATAACCAAAGGTCTGAATTTAGTTTAAAGAGAATTTATTCAAGCACAAAGGTTGAGAACAGGCCTGCCTGGGAAGCACAGATTCCAAAGAATGGAAGTCAGTGTTCCCAAGTGTAGAGGTTTGGGATCCTTTGTGTAGACAAAGTTCAGGGAAATTTAACAGAATTTCAAAGCCTTTCTATATAAGGCTTACAGCATAGTTACAGACATCTCATTATATGAGGTCGTCATTTTTTTTCAGGAAAGGTGTAGTTAACATTCCACACTGAAGCTATCTGCTCTGAGTTAGATACAGGACAATAAAGGAAGCAGTTAGTCTGTAACAAAGATCAGTGATTGGAAGGCAGGAGGTCTGGACTCCTAGTCATTTACAGAACAAGAACAATGAGGAGGAAAGTTAATCCATAATCTAAGAAGCAGAATTGCAGACATGCTCTGTGACTCAGTCTTGGGCTTAACTTCCTCCCTGGCATTTTTTAAATGCTGTAGAACTGCTCTGTCCATTGTGGTTTTTACTACCCGCATGGATTTTTTTTTTAGTTGGGGTCTCATTCTGTCACCCAGGCTGGATGCAGTGGCGTGATCACAGCTCACTGCAGCCTCGACCTCCCGGGCTCAAGGGATCCTTCTGCCTCAGCCTCCTGAGTAGCTGGGACTGCAGGCGCACACCAACCTGCCCGGCTAATTTTTTTTTAGAGGTGAGGTTGCCCAGGCTGGTCTTTTTTAGAGGTCGCTAGGTTGCCCAGGCTGGTCTTAAACTTCTGGGCTTGAGTTATCCTCCCTCCTCGGCCTCCCAAGGTGGTGGGATTGCAGGTGTGAGCCACCGTACCTAACTTGTATTTATATATTAACTGAATTGAATACAAATTAAAATTCAGACCGTCAGTCTCATTAGCTGCTTTTCAAGTGCTTGACAACACATGTGGCCAGTGCTACCATTTTGGACAGTGTAGATATAGAACACCTCCATCAGCACAGGAAATTCTGTGGACAACACTACCTTTGTCTGCCCTTGGTGGGTGTGTTTGCCACAAGAATGTTCATGTGGAGGCTGTTTTTGTCTCGTGATAGTCAGGCTCTCTGTTAATTGGATGCAGAGTTGGAGGCTAACAAACTCAGCCACTCAGGTGGCCAACTTTACCACAGGCCCGGTTTCCTCAGGCCTGGCGTAGGCACCCTGCACGCTACGGAAGAAGCCTGGCTTTTGCTTAGGAGAAACTCACAACCTAGGTGGAGGCCAGGAATGCTTCATGTGAGGTCTCCTGGGGGCTGAGGTTGGTAAGGATCTGCTGGGCAGAGGTTCCTCTAGGATGGGCAGGAGCCACACTCTGGCTGGTTTGTGATGAGAAGACTGAGCCCCGGAAGGCAAGTCCTGTCCTCAGTTCTGGACACAGCCCAGCCCCCCAAGGCAGCACCCTTAACTCCGCTTCCAGGCTGATGCTGCCCTGCTTTCTCTGCCTTTTTCAGGGTGTGCTGTCCGACCTCACCAAAGTGACTCGTCTGCATGGAATCGACCCGGTGGTGCTGGTCCTGATGGTGGGCGTGGTGATGTTCACGCTGGGGTTCGCTGGCTGCGTGGGGGCCCTGCGGGAGAACATCTGTCTGCTCAAGTTTGTGAGTGGCCACGGA